CGAGTGCATTTTGGCTCGTTTTTGTTTGGCTTCTTACTTGACCCTTACGGTGAACTGCTTGTTTGTTTGTAGTTGTTACTCAGTCATTTCCGACTTTTCATGGCAAGGTTACTTGGAGCCGTTTACCATTTCCCTCTCCGGCTCATTTTACAGATGAGGAAATTGAGGCAAACAGGGTGAAGTGATCTGCCCGGGGTCCCACAGCTAGTTTGTGTCTGGGAGGTCTGGCGCTGTCCACTGCACCACCTGGCCACGCACACCACATGGTGGTTTACGATCCAGTAATGGAATAGTCATCAGCTCAGTCAAGTTCTGAACCTTCCCAGAGGTCACTTTTTTCAAGAGAAGGATCATGACTTGTGTTGAGTCCCTGACAGGATCATTGGGACTACTTGTCCAGGTAGCTAGCTCAGCATTTTGGAAAGAGAGGTACCTTTGTCCTCTGCGGGGGATGTTCCTGTGCGCACAATCCCATGTTAAGTTGGATTTTTGCCATGATTTCCTAGTTTTGTCCATTATATGGCTAGGTCCTTGAGCAGAGGTTGATTTTCAGATCAGTCTTAGTGTTGTGTGGATACTCCATAGTACCAAAAATTACAGAATCATAGCTAGCATTGAGGTTATTGAAGTTTGCTGTCAGAAAGTGAATTACTATAAAAGCATATCTGCCTTTGGAAAAAAAAAGGTTACCATGTTACATAAAATGTATACAGTATTATCCACATACCACGTAATGCTGCAGCATAATGTGATATGATATAAATGTTCATTTTAGGAATACTGTATGTCTGAATACTTGAGGATGAGTGGAATCTATTGGGGACTAACGGTGATGGATCTAATGGGACAGCTTCATCGAATGAATCGAGAGGAAATCCTCACTTTCATAAAGGCGTGCCAGCATGAGTGTGGTGGCATCAGCGCCAGCCTCGGCCATGATCCTCACCTTTTGTACACTCTTAGTGCTATTCAGGTAAATGTGGTCCCTTGCTTTTTTTTTTTTCCTTGTTGTTTGAATCACCTAACAGCCTTGGGGACAATTTCTAGGTAAGGCTATTTGTTTTGAGATTAAAGCTGTTACTCTCAAGGTCAATGATGTGATGGCATGTATTAGCTGAATCTAAAGTTGATGCATATCACTACTTTAGCTCTAGAATTACGCTGAGACCTTGGAAATTCATTTTTCATGATCACTTTAATCTCTCATGGTCCACTCATTACATACTAATGTAAAGTTACACTGTCCCCAATTGATAATTGGGACAGTAAAGTGGAGAGACGACTGAGAAGTAGGAGGTGGGATTCTCAGGTCCTTGTTCTGCCTCCAGCTTGCTGTATTACTGGGCATAACTTGCCTTCTTTGGGACCATTGAACTCTTTAGTGGAGACCCCTGGCCTCCCTAACCTAACTTGATATGGGTGATTTGCCAAGCACGTGCAGTTCCAGACAACGATCTCCCTGCCCTGGGGAGCTTACATTCTGCTAGGGAAGACAAAATCTGCAGAAGTCCTAAATCCTAACCTGTATAATTTAGGAGAAGAGAACGTCCTTTTCTGAACTTGTTTCTTCTGTAAAATGCGGGCATTGGGATTAGGTGATCTGAGGTTTAAATATAGTTTTAAGAGTATTGGATGGACATCTGATGTCCAAAATGTTCCCCAAAAGTAACCTATCAGCACCCTGGTGAGGTGGGCCCTTTGGTTTTCACTTTGTATTCCTAGTATTTTGGACTAAGCAGGTACTAAATAATTGCCAAAAGATTAACTGGAAATTGTGGTTTTTGCGTTTAATTCTTAATCAAAATAGGAAAAAGAGACAGTCATTAAGATGAATTTGGGAAGGGCTTAATTAAATTTCAGAAAGTTGGGCCGTTCGTGAAGAATGTTGTGAAGGTCAGTGACGTAAATTTTAGTAATTGGTGCATTTTTTATTTTGCAGATTCTTACTCTTTATGATAGTCTTAATGTTATTGATGTAAATAAAGTTGTTGAATATGTCCAAAGTCTACAGAAAGAAGATGGGTCCTTTGCTGGCGACATCTGGGGTAATTAATGCCTTTTATGTCAGTTTAGCATAATGACCAGAATTGCACTGTTAGAGAGTAGGCCCTAAGTGCAAGTAAAGAGTTCACTTAGAAGCGGAGAATTGGTACTCCATAATAGGTTGCTTTTAAATTTTTAGGAGCTTATGTGGCAAGTTAATGTGTCCCCGTGTATCTGGGACTTTAAAAAGAAATTCAATTCTTTAAGTTTGCCATCTTTTCAGGTCCCACTGAGCAGCTGGTCTGTTTGGAGATATGTCTGTCTGCTGGAAGTGCCAGCATGTACTGTAGTAATTCTATTTCAGCATACGTGAGCACTGGATCAGAGGGGGCAAGTCTAGGATGATAAGGTAGGTAAATTTCACCCCAGATATTTGGTGGCTTTGTAAAGTTTTTTGATATTTTCTTTTTAAAAGAATCTGCACCGGAAAGGAGGGGGTAGAAATAAGAAAACTTTACAAACTTGCTGAATATTTGAGTGAAGAGGGAAAGGGAGAGGACAGCATTACACCTTAGAAATGTAGACCAGGGCCTTCTGTAGGCTTCAGTATTAGCATCGTCGCCTCGCTGATAACAGTGCAGGCTGTGCTGTCCGGGACAGGGATTGACTGAATACCAACCAGCTGCTTGATGGGATGTGAAAATAGAGTTGTTTTTATCTTTGTTTTTAAAGGAGGGAGGAGTTGTTATCTATCCCTTCCTGTGCTTCTAAGACATTTTTAATTCTAGGATTGCTCCGATTAGTTAGCTCTGTGACCTTGGGACTAGAGAGCCTGCTTCCCCTAGCCTGCCCAGCTTGGCGAAGATCTCCGTGCGTTTGCTGGCTATAGATGCTAGATAAACGTTAGCTGTTGTTGTGAATAAGTGGGACCAGGTTGTTATTTTCAGTTTTGCTAACTGGAGGAATGGTGTGGCTATGGAATGTTGGGAGATGGCAGATCTTGATCTAATGTGATACACTGGAGTGTTTATATTATGGTGCCTTTTTCCCCAGGTGAAATCGATACAAGATTTTCTTTCTGTGCTGTGGCAACATTAGCACTTTTGGTGAGTTTTAAGTATTGTGTTGGAGTTGTGAACTTAACTATCCCTGTCTTTGGAATTTCATTGAAAAACACTTTCTGTCTTGTAGGGGAAGCTAGATGCCATCAATATTGAAAAGGCAATAGAATTTGTTTTATCCTGCATGAACTTTGATGGTGGATTTGGGTGCAGACCGGGCTCCGAATCCCACGCTGGGCAGGTAAGTTATCTGGAGCATTCAGGCAGTAGTTGAATGTTGACCCGGGGCCCCAAGTCCCACGATGGCTGTGTAGTGGCACGTTTTTATTTTTATACAGTTCACTAGCTGCGTTTCATCCGTTTTTTGGAACTGGCTCCCCACTCCTTCGTGGGACAGATCCTTCCCACCTTTCCTAGAAACCAGAAGCACTTAGCACTCTGGTTTAGCCTATGGCATTGTAGGTGATTTAAGGTCTGGGAACTTTGTTACCTTGCTTTTTGGCCACAAATAGTGATTATCTTCAGCACAGTACTGAACAAACATTCCTACCTGGGTTCCAAGTGCACTCATTACCATTTAAAATACGGTAAGATACAGGGGAACAAAGATGGCTTTGCTGACAGATCACAGATAGTTGAGCACAGTCTTCTCTCTGGGGCTTACATTTAATTTTCCAAGTCATCCTTAATTTAGCAATAATCTTCTAGCATGGAAGTCAGCATCAAGTTTTATGTACATGAACTTTATGTCTGTAATTTTAGATCTATTGTTGCACAGGATTTCTGGCAATTACTAGCCAGTTGCATCAAGTCAATTCCGATTTGCTTGGTTGGTGGCTTTGCGAACGCCAGTTACCGTCCGGTGGCCTCAATGGACGACCAGAGAAGGTAATTGTAATCATTCGAATCCTGAGAATTGGCACAATCTCCCTGCGTTTGTTCCCCTAAGGATATTCCCCTTGGCCTTTTTTGGGCTGTCACTGGAATTCACAATTAAAAAGTCGTCTTGACACTTTTACAACATAAACTCCTTTTTGAGGCTAGATTTTTATATTCCACGAAGGATGTTTTGTTAGCTTTTTAAACAGTAGTAGAGAGTTGGCTCAGGCAGTGAAGCTGTAGTCCTCCTGGTGCCCAGACTTGGACACACTTGCTAACCCCTCCCCCCCACCTTTGCCTGCTGTAAACTCTAGTACCTGGGGTCATCTTCACACCCAGTCAGCAGTTGGTGCTAGTGCTGTAGGTTGTAGTGCTTGGAGGTTCTTTACTATTTCTCTAACCTGTAATTCTTAGCTGCCTGTTCTGCATTAAGAAAGACCCTATCCTAAGCTCTTTCCACATTCAATTGTGGAGTGTTTCTAAACTGGAAGCTTTCATTCCTTCTAACTTAACTCTTTTATTTTTTTATTTACTTACTTATTTTTTGGAGACAGTTGGGTTAACAGTCCCACAGCTAGTAAGTGTTGTGTCTGAAGCTGGATTTGAACTCAGGTCCTCCTGACTCCAAGGCTGGTCCTCTGTCTACTGGGACACCTAGCTGCCCCCTGCTAACTTAATATTAACAGGGCCTAGACATTTTTCCTTACTAGGGTAGCCTATTTAAATCCACCTGTCTCTTAATACTGAGCAGTTTTTTCACATAGACTAGATTGGGTTTGGTGAGGGGGTGGACAGTTGTCGGAGAAACGAATGTTTGTTACCTTTTTTCCTCCTTAGCTACCAGATGTGTGTTATTCCTGGTGGGTGTTAGCTTCCTTGAAAATAATCGGAAGACTGCACTGGATTGACCGGGAGAAATTGCGCAGTTTCATCTTGGCTTGTCAAGATGAAGAGACCGGAGGGTTTGCAGACAGGCCAGGAGATATGGCAAGTTCTCACTATAGCTTTTGTGTGTCATACCTGGAGCTGTAATGAGATGGAGCGCCCCATTTGAAAAATTGGGGATAGTCCTTGGAAGGCAGGATGGGTTTTTGTTGTTTAACAACTATGTGACTAAAGGCCTCTCCTTGAAAATAAAACAGGATGGGGAGCGGGCCTTTGAAATATTTTTTAAGTAAACTCAATACAAATTTATTGGGGAAAATTTTTCTCACTACTGGGCTATTCACAAGTTTCAGACAAAACAGCATGTAAAATTAGGCAAAATAATGTACTTTAATTCCTCAGGCACTATAAAGGAAAACAAAGCCTCCGGTTTAAAAAAAAATGACATCATATGTCTCTGATAGAGTATTTTAATTTGTCTATTTAGGGCTTTTGGTTTATACCAGAATACATTTTACTTAATTAAATGGACTGGTTTCTTCTATGCCAGAATTTGTTAAACTGGTTTTTGCAAATAAAAACTACACCTTTGTTTCAATGTGATTAGTTCACTTTGCAGCCCTTTACATTTTAATTTTACTTCATGTTTATAGACCCCTGCTTTCTGGAGGCCTTTTGCAGTTGAACTTGTGTTGTAATCTATCAAAGAGTTGTATGGTTACTGACCTTGCTTTCTTAATTCCCAAATAGGTGGACCCTTTTCATACTTTGTTTGGAATTGCTGGACTTTCTCTGTTAGGAGATGAACAAATCAAGCCAGTCAATCCTGTGTTTTGCATGCCTGAGGAAGCACTTCGAAGAATAAATGTGCAGCCAGAACTTGTGAACTAGACAGCAGGCCCACTAGACTTGTACTGTTACCTTCTTTACTTTTTCAAATGTGCACATGAATATAGCAAAAAAAACCAAGCATTTTGGTGAATGCTCTGATTTTGTACATTGTGTCAAATCGATTTTAATAAATTATATAGTCATATATTTATGTTACATATATATTGTAAAAAGTAACTCTGTCCTAATACTTAGCTTCAGGTGATTCACTGTGATGCTGATTGATAGTGCAATAGTTTAATGGTACTTGAAGCATGTGATGGGTCATCATTTCAAGAAGCAGGAAAAACTAGCATGCTTAGTGTTGCAGTATTTTATGCATGTAATCCCTTCGGAAATGATTGCCAAGTATTAGAATTTTTGATGGGTAAATAATGAAAAGATGTCATTTCTGTTTGATAAGCTCTTCATAAAAACCCACCAACAAATGAAAGCCCTTCTTTATCAGGACTGTAGAAGTCTTTTGTCATTAGTGTTCATGTAAAGTAAACTTGATTGTAACATCTTGTACTTGGGAAAGGACTGATTTGTTGTGCAGACTTGGTTCCTGTAAATGGGTTAGGAAAAGTTAGGACCCTGCCCACCTATATTGCATACTCTTGTACACGTCCCAGAAAAACGTGTCCGAACGGTAATGTGATGATTTTCAGCCTAGCATGGAAAAATGACAGAATAAAGTGAGTATCTGGGTTGAGATTTTGTGTCCCCCTGAATTTTTTTTGTCCAGAGATCGTCCGGTTTTCACACGGTCACTGCGTTGCTGCTATTGTGCTTTAAAGGGGCTTCCTTTAGTGGGGCAAATGCATCAGAAGTGCAGAAGGTCACTTGTAAAATCTTGGAGGTGGTGCTGTTAAGAGGACATTTTAAAAGGGGTCGTTGAGGAGGCCCCCAGGTGGCTGAATTAGAGGCTGTAATGCTATTCTCTAAGCTGAGAAAGCTCAGAGCCACACAAAGCAGGCCTCGACATGGGAGTGCCACTAATCGAGTGGTTTAATTAGAGCGAAGTAAAAGCCCAGGTTATATACTTGAATCACAGCTAGGGAGGGAGGGGGGCGAAGGCGGATTGCAGTCATCTAGAGGTTTCCCACCCGAAACCCTTCAGCTCCCCGGTACGGTAACTGTGGTGGCAGGTCTCGGGGACCGTGACGGCCTCCCCTAAGGCGCAGAACCAGAGAGGGCCCACGCAAGGCAAGGCCCAGCGATGGCGAGTGTTGGTCCATCAGCTCAAGCTGCATTGGGAGCTCCGAACTCCCAAGCCAGAGAGGCAGCTCCTAACGAGATCGCTGCTATGTTCATTACATATGATTAATGTGAAAATCACGAATTCCTTCCTCAGCGGGGGCCACTGGGTGGGCGTGGGCGTGGGCGTGGGGGCGGCTCGCAGCAATCGACGATGGGCATCTCAAGGGCTTCCATCTGGTCTCGTCATCAACGACGCTTTAGGATCCTGCCCACGCGCTCCCCCTCGGCCGTCACTCTGCATCCTCCCCCGGGGGCCGAACTGGCCTCGCGGCGCCCGAAGAGGCGGGCAGTGTCGGGCAGTGCCAGGCAGTCTTAACCCGGCTGCGTCTCAAATGCCCTCTCCTCGATGGCCCCCCCCCCCCCCCCCCCGGCTTCCCGCGGCCCCCGCGGCCCCCCCCCCCCCGCCCCCCCCCCCCCCCACCCCGGTCTGTCCACGTGCTTATTCCAAGCCTGGGTTCCTTCCCTTTGAAAACGGCCTTCCTCGTGGAAAGCCCACTCCGACATCCTTAGCCTGGTTTTTCGAGTCTCCCTCCAGCTCCGCGAATGGCCGGTCCCTCCCTACATTCCCCGCCGCTCTAGCTTCCCCTTCCGGGTCTATTTCCGGTTCCGGCGGGGCGTGCCTTTGCCGCCTCGCTCCGGCCGAGAGGCCTGCCGGGAGGGGGCGGGGCTCCGTCGGCGGGCGCGGCCACGTGACTGTGCGCCTGCGCCCTGCTCTTCTCCTCGGGCCCGGCCCTCCATAGATGACGCGTCAGTGCGAGGCGGGGCTCCCCGGAGGAGGATGTCTGGGCCGGAGGCTCGGAGCCCTTCGTGTTCGCGGCCGTGGGACTCGTCCTCGCCCGCGAGAGGGATCCCGCCTCCGGGCCCCCGCTGCAGATCCGGCGTCCGGCGGACTCCGCTGTGGGGCTCGGCCGAGCGCGGCCTGCCCTTCCCCGGCGGCGGCGGCTCGTGGTCGGGGCACGGGCCCAGCAGCAGCCCCGGCCTCGTGCGGTGGAGCAGCAGCAGCCCCAGCCCGCCTGGCAGCGTCCCCGGGGCAGACCGAGGTGGGGCCGCCCTCGTCCCGCCCTGTGGTGCCTCCGGGTGGGGGAAGGGACGGCGGGGCTGCGGGTGTCTCCAGGCTCCCCTCCCCCACGAGGTCAAATTAGTAAGTCGTCGGCCCCCGGGAGGGTTAGGCTCGGTCCGCCTCCGGCCTCTTCCTCCTTTGTAAAGTGGGGACCCCGAGGGTCCCTCTCCTGCGGGGGGGGGGGCGATGATGACGTCATGGAGAGCCGGGCCGCGTGGTGCCCCTCCCCCGCTGTGCGCCTCCTACGAGGCCGGCCCCACGGTCTCCGCGCCTTCGAAGCCTCGGCAGCTTGTTGTTTTTTGTAGCGGGCCTGACTGTTTTCCGACTAAAAAGAATTGAGTTTCTCGCCCATAACGAAGGGAAAAAGCCATTTTCACGAGTGTGCGTAGGTGGCCACCATATCTATCTATGTGTCTATTTCTAGCGCTCACCCCGTGCAGACCCTTAGCGGTGTTTAGCCGGGAGCCCGAGCGCGCACAGAGGGGCGAGACACGAGCTCCGGCCGGCAGGGATTGGGCAGGGGCTCAGAGGGAAGGCTTGGGGCCAGGACGGAACGGGCGGACGAAGCCTAAAGAGGCCCGCGGGACTACAGAGTAATGTTGCATGTGCGTGTAACAAAACGCAAAAGAAACCACTTAAGTCAAGTACAAACTCGGCACGTCCAAAACCGAACTCGTTAGCTTTTCTCCCCAAACCTCCCTCTTCCAGATTTCCCCGTTCAGAGTGGAACACCATCGTCCCAATGCCTCCCTCAGGCTCATAAGCTAGGAGGCATCCTGGACTCAACTCTCTCACCCCCCATATCCATATCCAATATGGTGCCGGAGCCTATTGATTTTACCTTTGCAACATCTCTGTAATGTACCCTCTTCTCTCCTCTGACACTGTCACCCCTCCCCCCATACAGGCCCTCATCCCTTCACATCTGGGCTGCTGCAGTGGCTGCTGGGGCATCCCCCCCACTCTGGGCCATCCTCCCGTGAGCCGCCAAAGTGATTTTCCAAAGCACAGGCGCAGTCATGACATTCTACTCATTAAAATCCATTAAACTCCTTAGCCCCACTTCCGTATTTTCTCAATCTTCTTAAACCTGTTCTCACCCTCCTTATTTATTATTCAGTGTGCTGGTCTTGCTATTCCATGAACAAGACACATCATCTCCCAACTCTAGACATTCTGCCCATGTCTAGAATGCTCTTCAACTCATTTATTGAACACTTACAGTTATAAGACATTATGCTGTGTCCTCTTCATCAGAAAGATAAGGGTTTCTAAGAACATATCTTAAGCCCACTTGGGGAAATCTGAAATGTGATTTTAGTCCCATTATTGAGTTTTAATAAACATTACCCCTAAGTCATCCCTGGTGCTTGACACACCTGTATAATCACCTTAATTCTTTTTAGTCGCAAAACAGTCAGACCCACTAAAAAAAAAAAAAAAAAAACACCTGTGTAATCAGTCAATAGCAAGTATTAAGCATTACATACCAATCACTGTACAAGAGCTAGGAGTACAAATACAAGCAGTCAATCAAACATTAAGTGCTAAGATGTGCCAGGCAGTGTGCCAAGCCCTGGCGTTACAAAAAGAGGCAAAGGATAGTCCCTGACCTCAAGGAGTTTACAATCTAATAGGGGAGACAATATGCAAATATATACGAGCAAGCTATGTACAGGATAAGTAGGGAATAGTTAACAGAAAAAAGGCACTGGGATTAGAGGGGTCAAGAAAGGCTTCCTGTAGGTGGGCTTTCAGTTGGGACTTGAAAACCAGGGAGGTCAGTAGGTGGAGCGGACGAAGGAAAGCATTCTAGGCCTGGGGGATGGCCAGAGAGATGGAGGGTCTTGTTCGTGAAACAGCTGAGAGACCAGTATCACTGGATGCAATGGGTGCACAGTGAGGTGTGAGAAGACTGAAAGGTAGAAGGGTCCAGGCATTGAAGCAAAATAAGAGACAAGAACGTTTCTATCCTGAAGGGGTTTACATTCTGATGAAGGAAGACTGCATAAAATGAAGCTCAGGAGGAGAGGGGGAAGGTGAAGGTACCCTGTGGGAGGTGGGGTGGGACAGGGAGTAGCAGAGAAGGCTGTCGTGCAGAGAAATGAAGACCTCGCCGGCCTGTGGGTCCTCTTTCAGCGGAGGCTGTACGAACAGCCTCCGGATGAGAGGGAGATAGCTAAGGGCAGAGAGTATTTCCATTGTCAATTCCAGGGCTTGAGTGGGATTCCAGGATGATGGGGTTGCTGGAGCATGATGAAGAAAGTCCAGAACATAGCCTGGTGAGAAATGAAGATACAGCATATAAAAGGATTTATTTAATGTATTTGTAGCGTGTAAAAGAATAGGGAGAAGGGAGGAGGAAGGTTGTCAGAAGTCATTTTCTGAGCCCCAGCTGCCTGAAGTTAAATCATAAACATTTATTAAGTGTTTACTATGTGCCAAGTACTGTATTCAGTGCTGGGAATGCTAAAAGAGGCAAAATACAGTCTGCCCACAAAGAGGGGAAACAATATGTAAATATATACAAAGCGAGCAACATAGAGAAAAGAAAAAGTAATTAACAGGGAAGGCACTGGAATTAAGAGGTCTTAGGGAAGACTTCTTGTAGATGGTAGGATTTTAGTTGGGACTTAGAGGAAGCCAGGGAAGTCAGTAGTGGGAACAGAGAAGGGAGATCACTCCAGGCCTGGGGAAGGCCAGAGAGAATGACCAGAGCCGAGAGATGGAGGGTCTTGTTTGTAGAACAGCCAGTAGACTAGTGACACCATATGGAAGAGTAAGTGTCAGAGAGTACACTGTGAAGACTGGAAAGGGAGGAGGGGCCTAGGGTATGAACAGAGCATTTTGTATTCGATTCTAGGGGTGATAGGAAGCCCCTGGAGTTGACTAAGTAAGGGAGACATGATCAGACCTCTAGGAAAATCACTTCAGTGGCTCAGTGGAGGATGGACTGCAATGGGGGAGAGTTGGGGCAAGCAGACTGACCAACTTGGGGTATGCATCAGCAATCTGCTTCTCCCATCTTTTAAATTAAAAAAAAATTTTTTTTTTATTATTTTTGATAGGCAGTGGTGTTAAGTGACTTGCCCAGGGTCACACAGCTAGTAAGGTCAAGTGTCTGAGGCCGAATTTGGTCTCGGGTCCTCCTGACTCCAGGGCTGGTGTTCTATCCACAGTGCCACCTAGCTGCCCCTTTCTTTTAAAGTTTTTTGAGACCTTTTTGATTAGCTTCGAAAGACTCCTGGCAAATATATTCTTTTAAAAATAGATTGTATTGATATCGTTTGTTTTTCCAATTTATCCTGGCTATGTCTTGTTCATTCATAGTTGCTTGCCTGCTGTCTCCATCATTAGACAATGAGCCCCTTGAGAACAGGGACTGGGGGACTGT